ACATTAATAATAATAATAATAATAATGAAAGAATAAATAAATAAAGTTATGAGCTTTTATTTAATGAGTAAGATCATTAGGTATTTTTTGGTTATTCCTGATAAATAAATGTATTAGATAGATCGTATGTTTAATATATTATTATTAAATATTAATTATTATAATTTGTGTATGTTTCTTAGTTTAAATAATAAAAAAACAACAAATTCAACTCATCAGATTTTAAATATTTTTCATGGCATAATTGCATGTATCTCGGGTTTCTCATCTAAATCTTGATGTTTTCAAGACTTATCCAATAGACCTTTGCTTCATGTGGCCTATGTAGTTTAATGTTACTATTTGTAATTCAATAGTAAGTAACTAGAAATCTACACAAGCACTATGAAACAAAGTGCTATTTGATTATTATTTACTCAGTCAAGTAAAGTTTTGTAACCCACGAAAAATATTCAAAAACTTTGTTTGCATTTGCACTTCACGCCAAAACATTGACGCGTGGACAGAAAGTGCAAGAAGCTATTTTTCTCAAAACAAGAGTATTGTCTCATATTTTACCACATGATTTATGTTTTCAGATGAAATTTTTAAAATAAACTGAATTTCAAACACAGGACAATAAGACCCGGCGAACGTACTCAGTAATATCTGTAAAAGGTGAAGGGTTTTAGCTTTTACTCTGATTACTTACGAAAACAGATGAAAGAATTCACCAGTAAAAAGAAGAGATTTATTGCAAAACCTTCTTTCCCATTCTGAGCATTGCCTTCCCTTTAACTAAAGGAATAGTTCCCTTTGAGGACCAAGCGATTTATATATGAACTGTCTTTTTAAAAATTAGCATCTCGGTATGTCTTGTATTATATGTAATTTTCTCCGTTCTGGACAAAATGGCTTTTATAATTGGTCTCTTACTAACCGCGGTTTTCAAACTGTGGGGTGTACTAGTTACCAAATACTTTTAAAATGATTACAAAAAATAAACAAAAACTAATTAGTTTTCATGCATGTTTTTACATATTATTGCATATTAATTTGTAGTCTGATAATATCAGTTGAGTTGATTGTTGAAAAGAGTAAGAAGTCGCAACATTTTTTGATTAGAGCAGGGCGTTCTGTGCAAAAAAGGTTGGGAACAACTGCCTTAGTAAATATGTCACTTTAGTCCCTACCCCTACTAAATTAAAAGACTATGTTATTGGTAGTCACTAAATCCAACAAGAGTTTGAGAATTATGGTAATATCACTGAATAAATAAATACCAATAAAAAATAAAACACCAAGCCATTTTGTCCGTACTCGCCCTACGTGAAATGCATACTATAATAATTATTAGAATTATTTCAAATACCAAAAATAAATATATTTAGATAAAACCAGTGGCGTAACTATAAGGTGGCGTGGGTGGCAAAATGCCACGGGCCCCCGGCCTAAGGGGGCCCCGGCCCAAAAGGACGCATGCTTAGAAATATTTTTACATTCTATTCTAATACTTTATTTTACTTGAAAAGTATGTTTTCGTAAGAATCAGGGGCGAAACTACCGTCGTATCAGCCGTATCAAATATGCGGGGCCCCCGAACCAGGGGGCCCCCAATGTCCGTAACAAACATTAATAATATAAAAAAATCATGAAAAACGAATTAATCATGAAAACTTTGTTCAACCAAATTTAATGTCGTTAAAAAAGTACGCGAGGAATGTAAGATTATTATTTTAAAGAGTTTTATTTTGTCCAGGCCACGGGGGCCCCAAATACGCGTAAAAAAGTACGCTAGTAATGTAAGATTATTATTTTAAAGAGTTTTATTTTATCCAGGCCACGCAAGCCCCAAATACGCGTAAAAATTAGTAAAATCTAACAAATTTTGGTTTTATTTCACTAATAACAAAAGTTAGAATAAACATGAAAATTTTCTTATAAATAAATTTAATTTCGAAAAAAAAAACATGAGCGTGTAAGAATGTAAAAATATACTTTTAAAGTGTTGTGATTTTTTTTAATATTTTCTTTAATATTATTTATGAAGCTCTATAATGAAAACTAACTTTTTATTAAGTTTTGAAAGTACTATGGCTCGTTCATTAAATTTTGATGATGTCATAGACACTTTTGCAGAACAGAAAGCACGAAGAAAAGATTTTAATAAATACCTTATTGAAATTAAATTGTTGTTTTTATTTCATTCCAAATTTATGCATATTTTAAATAGGGTTCTTCACCAAAAAGGGCCAGCGAGTATATGACGAAAATGAAGTTTTCAAAAAGTATTAAAAAGGATTTGATTGTTGAGAAAACACGTGAAAAATTGATTGTTAATGTTAGGTTATGTAATAATTATTTTTAACCCCAAAGTAGTAATTTTAAGTTTAAACACAAAAATTTTATGTTTGATTTTCAAAACAAAGTAGTAATTGCACTTTTAAATTATTAATTTTGACTTATAATTATTTTTATTTTTATGTTTTCTTGTACTTATACATTTTAATTTTTTTTTTTAAATTTTTGTATACATACATTTTAAATAATTTCTTAATTTAAAACCATAAAATATGAATAAGTCGAAGTAGATTTACTCATTTTTAATACAATTCATTACATATATATTATATATATATATATATATATATATATATAATTTAAATCAACACGTTGAAAAATTTCGAGTTTTTTTAAATTAAATTAAAACCACTTGATTTTACTGATGGGGGGGGGCCCATAAAAAAAAATTGCCACGGGCCCCGGGTGGCCTAGTTACGCCACTGGATAAAACTATTTATTTTTACTCACTGCGTGCACAGGTCACCAGGTCCTTATCGCTGGTATTCTGTGCCAGTCCTCTTATATACAAATTAGTCTTAGAAAGCGTTTCTTGTGGCTGTGAGGCCCCTAAATTGTTACTCAGGCTTGTGCTGAGAGTCCCGCTCTGGCTGCCCGTGTTCGATGAGCTGCTCGAATTCGTGTTACTAGGCGACGCGGCCGTGGGCACACGTTGCCCGAACTGAAACAAAAGAAAATCGTTTAATTACACACAAGATGATTAATAATTACCATTTAATTAATTATTGTTCATGAATTCTTGATAAAGCGGAATATACAAATATAATAATGATTTTTTACTACGATATGTTTGAAACAAACATTTGGGTTGGCATATATTTGTTCCAAGTCACTTATCATTTGTTGCAAGGATTGGTTGTTTCTTACTACAATGCGTTGCCACATAAACAAAAGTGAAAATCGTATCAATGACACAGATCAACAAGAATCTTCAATGTTCAAATTTTTAATTTGTTCAGATTGGTATATATATTTTTGCAAACCAATAACATGAATTTGAATATATCATATTCTAATATTGTCTAGGATCTTTTTTATTTTTTTTAGGTGGTGTTGGAAACAAAAGAATGAAAGAATAGTCTGAAGTTATTAAGGGGCACACCTAGTGTGACAACCTAAGAAAATGTCATATTTTGGCAATTAAAAATTCCCAAATTTGAAATTTTGAGGAGGCATTTATACATGTTTTGAGAATACACAGTGAAATTTTTTAAATAAAATATTAAATATTTTTGAAATGACAAGTGAGATCCGGCGCCGCAAAAAAAAGAAGTCCTCGATCAGGCCCTATTATCTCAGTACAAAATCCGCGTTCACAACGCGTAGTTCCAGTCACGACCGCTAGGCGCAAATTTGGCGCTAGTGAGCCGATGACAAGTTTGACAGGTTAGTAATTCACGAGCAATATGTACCAGAAATGTCAAAATTTTGTTTTGATTCTTATTATGATTGTTGTGTTTACAAGTGTTTTATAATTGTTTATACGGTTTTATTTGTGATTCAAACAAAATCTATAACTCTTAAATGAAGAGGATATAAAGCAGTTGTTAAAGCAGTGTATATAATAAAAATTTAATCACAATACATTTTGGGAGCAAGCTAGGGCTCTTTTATAAGAAAGGCAAGGCTTCTCTAACTTTTCAGAATTGTATTAAACTTTGGAGGCTCTTAAATATATATGGAAAAGCATAAATAGACTAGACTTTACATTTTTTAGGAACGCCACTGAGTTAATGAACAAAATCCAATTGCCGTGCAAGATGATAAAATAAGTTAATTTAATGCAGCAGTTTTTTGAATATTCAAGATAATATCAGAGCCATTTAGCATGACTGGATTTATCGCAAAGAATGTGCTGAAAAGTGACAAATCTTACTTGGAATGATTATTAGTTAATAAAGTAATGCACAGACACTATAATTTAAACACCATGTTTTGTGTTCACAACATTATTGGTAGTGAATAATGAATGATTATCCACTTGAAGGCAGGAATCCTGTAATTCGTTAAACTTTTTATTTTTCCTTTTTTTTAAATAAATATGTTTGTTGCAACATATTGCTATTTACTTTGATATCTATTTTAATATATGTATTATTGTTTGGTATGTTTTGTTATTGTATAACAATGTCAATATAAGACTATTGTAATGCAAAATTTAAATACAAATAAATTATTTTTAAAATTGACAATTTTCTTTTATTTCTAATTTTGGCGCTTTAATTTGAATGCATTTTGGAGCACGAGGCTGCCGAGCGACATGCGATTAAAGCGCCATCACCCAATATTGCGGTCGTGACTTTCCCTAGCTCTCTGAACGCAAATACCGCGAGAGAGAAACGTCTATATTAGTATATTGTCTAGGGTCCTCGATTGCTGGAGTGATTGCAGCCTTCTCCGTTGATAAAACATTTAAAAAAAAATTCTCGTTAAACCAGCAGTTTCCAACCTGTGGGGCGCGCCCTTTCAGGGAAGCGCCAGGCTGTTCTAAGGAGGGCGCGTACACCTATTTCCAGAACACTTTTATAGAAAATAACCCGAAATTTTCAAAATAATATTAAAAAATTATCAAAAAATAAATAATTTTTAGGCATATTTTTTACAAAGTGTTGCATATTTTAACATAGCATAACATAACATAACATTGTAGTCTGATAATGTCAGTTAAGTATTTATAAACTTAATTTGTTGAAAAAATTAAGAAAGCACAACAAAATTTTTTATTGGAACTGGGGGGCGCGGTGCCAAAAAGGGTGGAAACCGCTGCGTTAAAGAAACATATTGTCTCTACGATCACCCTCGGGCAAACAAAAAGAATCAAAAATTGACAAAATGGCGGCATGTTTTAAAAAAAAACAATTTTTGATCAGATCAAAAAAGTGGAGGGTCATCCTATGAAGAACTATATAAAGGAGATGCAAAAAAAATTGATAGTGATCGGATCATTTGTCTCCGAGTAATCTCTCCAGCAAATTCAAAAAATGCTGTTTCGAAAAAAAACGCGTTTAAATATAAAATGATCCTTATACTATATACTATATATGTACTACATTCTATATAAATGGCTGTAACTCAAACTATTTAAGATATCGATTTAAAATTTTAGTATGTTATTTTTAAAAGTATAAGCCTATCGAAATATAGAAAAATTCAAAATTCGATTTATTGAAAATTTCACAGTAGGTGTGTGCCCCTTATTGAGGAAAATATTATAAAACACCTAAAAAACTCTACTGAATAAGATTGTGAAACCTAAGAACTTAATTGGAGCCCAATTACAAAAAGATTCTTTACTGCACGATCCATTCTCAAATCCCTATTTTTTCCAAGAAAAATGGGACAAATAAGAATGCAGATGTCTCTGCAATAATGACATGAAGGGAAAAAAGAAATAAAGGGAATTGAAGTGTAAAAAGCATATTGTAAACAAGGGGTAGGAGAAATGGGAAACATTTTAATCTCATACTATAGAACCGCCTTTAAGCAGAGCACTAATAAAATTCTTTGTATAATAATTAAAAGCATCGCTGCAATTTTACATTTTTATCGTTTATAAAATATTCTCTGCCAAAAGAGATAATAGAGCATAGAATGTTTAGCGTTTTATAGATGATAAATAATGTAATATTGATTACAAAAATCACGAATGTATATATTTGCAGATACTTTAGGTTGACAACTAAGTAAGTGCGGCTTTTACTTTTAGATGGTTTAGATTTTCTGACGTAGTCCAAATGTAAAATAACTTTGGTTATGGGATATTAGTAGGCAATTCGACTGCCAATTACCAAAAAAAAAATTTTTTGATCGATAGCGTACTTTTACTTTGGCGTTGATGAAAGATGGAAAATCAAATAGAAATTTTTTGTCATATTTTGTTTTTTTATTTCTGCAAAGGTAAGAAGATATTTTAAGTTCACAAAAGTAATGAGCTTCATATTATCGCAAGCCTTAAAAAATGGCAGTGTCAAAATAGGTTTGCCAAATTTTGATCTGGTGATTTTTCACTCAAATATAAAAAACTTTCTGATAGTCCAGTTAAAGTTGACTACAAAGGAATTGTCTACTATTACTTTTACCACCCAATGAAATGATCAACTCTGATGTCTACTTTGAACAACTAAGGAAATTAAACAACTCAGTTGAAAAAGGCGGTATGATTTGACAAACCGAAGCTGTGATTTATAACATTATTGACATCACATATCTTTGGCTACTGGACAAAAATAATTGGAACCTGGTTGGAATATTTTGCCATATCCACCATATAGTAGTCTTGAGCTTGCAGCTTTTGATTACTTTTTGTTCCGATAGAAAATACTGATTAAGGTTTCCAACCTGTGGGGCGCGCCCCCTCAGTGGGGCGCCAGGCTGTCCTAAGGGGGGCGCGTACAACTGTTTCCAGAATACTATTATCGAGAATAACCCAACATTTATGGAACGTTATTAAAAAATAAACAAAAAATATTTAGTTTTTATGAATATCTTTACATAATATTGCATATTAATTTGTAGTCTGATAATATCAGTTGAGTATTTATAAAACTAAACAGTTAAAAAAAAAAGGGGGGGCGCAGCATTTTTTTTTTTATATTTGCAGGGGGGCGCGATGCAAAAAAGGTTAAAAACCGCTCGATTAACTCTTTGAATGGTAGACAATTCAACTATTATGATTATTTCAAATTGTACCTGATTCAATTTTTACTTATAAAAACCAGAAATTCTATGAAACTGGGATATGATACTGCTTGAAAGATGACAAAAAGACATTGATCAAAATAGACAATAACAGCATAAAAATATTTAGTTTCATAAAAAAAATGTCTATATTCTACCAAAATTCCGTATCAACTTAGTTTCCAACTTGATAGAGCGTCTGTCGGTCTTATGATATACCCACTATTCTATATCCTAAATTGTAATTTAAACAATTTTGTGAAATTAATCATGCAACATTTCTAAATATTTGATTTTGATATTGATCCGAATTTTTAATTTTGTCTTACTAGAGAATTACAGTACAAAACCATAAAAAAATTCATAGAAATATATTGTTTATGACTATCCAGCAATATAATCTTCAAGCTGAGTTACTTCTACTCCTTTTTCTAAACGGATTTATTATTTTATAATAAAGACTTTTTCACAAGTGCCGCCATTTATTCCGCGCCGTTTTCTTGCAATAAATCAAGCTCAAGCTCATAAATTCTTATTTCATTCTAGCATGTCCAGCGCTAGCGTATCTATTACAAAGAAAAAATCATTAAGACAATCGTGACAACAGTTAACAGATTATTTTGCTACTCGACAATAACGCCGAGAGGAAATTGAGAAACTGACCAGAGGTAGTCAACCTACAACTGGAAAAAAGATAATTAGAAATAAATATTAAAGAATGAAGGAGTGGCTCCCATTGTGCATTATACAGGTTTGTGAATTACAATCGTACTTGAGAAAAATTAGTGGTTTAGATAGTTCAATAGATCAATTCCAAGTAAATTATGGTATGACGTAGATTTTTCACCACTGTCATAGATTACGTTCCATATGTTCTTTGCAACATAATTTATTAATAGGCATAAAGGCGTACAAGTACTTATTCAAAATGTTCCTGTTACATCTTGCGCAATTATCGTGAGTCACTTAGTAATAACTCAGTGCATAATTTTAACTCGATAAGATGATTGTAATATCTATCATATGCAAAATTATGACACACGAGTTAGTATTCATGAATCATAGCTACTACTTTATGCAATATAATAAAATTCTAAAATTCACATCTATACGTTATAAAATTGATGACAAATTTATGATTGTCTGAGTAGTTCTAAGTTACCAGGAAAGCAACGTTTGCACCTCTACTTTATACTTTAACGTTTTTACTAATCAACAAATAAAATATAGCAGGATATTAAAAGTTTTTTTTTCACCATATAATTTACAACTGTTCTTAGTGGACATCTAGTAAATTTAAAGATAATATATTTAGTTAAATGTCATATGATATGTAAATGACAATAGTAGAAGTAGCCAGTGCTACTTCCAACTAATTCCCCAAAACATACATA